AATGGTATGGGATTTCCTTTTTGAAACCTGCGAACTCAATGTAATCACTTTCCACAAAATGCAAGGAGCATATAAATCAGGTAGCGTCCGCTTTCCGAGGTGCCCGTAAATGGTCTACAGGAATTGCAGCCAGCCATTGGTCCCGATCCCGTTGATCTTTCGGAAACTCTGTCGCACAATGCCACTTCTGTTTCGGACGCAGGACATGTGAGCCAGCTCTTCACGCAACATCTTGGGTGTATTCTTTTCGGAGCCGATCAAAATTCACCACGGGCACTCACTACTCATCTCCAACTCCTCAATATACAAAACAACTCATCTTGGAGTACAGAACAACGAGCGGAACATACATAACTGCAAAAGAATCCCACGGCGAACAGTTCCCGTACGCCGCATGTTGTCTGCTACCGGGAAGGAGAAAAAAAAAAAAAAAAAAAAAAACCACACGGTCGGGTGTAGACACGTGACTTCCGCCACTCGCTCTCTCCTCTCCACTTCTCCGACCTCCGTCGGGTTTCGGTTTCGGTTTCGAGCTGTTGCGTCTTTTGACTTTATTTAAAAAATACGCTACTCTGTTGCAAAATATTAATTGGGTAGTCCTCCGGCACCATAATGAAGCGCCTGGCAAAAAATTAAAAAAAAATTTTGGGGGGTGTCAGTGTCCCTTTAAAGTCCATACTTGTTTGTTAAAAAAAAAAAATAATACAGGAGTTGTTTGTTATGCAGAGCGCAAGTTAGTCTGCTTCCTGCACAGGGGTTGCGATGATGTCGGAACACCAAACTGTTATTGGCCGATTGAAAAAAAAAAAAAAATAGTGGGTAGACCTTAAAGGGATACTACAACGAAATTTCGGCGCTCATTTTTTGGTCTATGTGTGTTCAAAGGAGCAGCATCACATCGAACATACCAATATCTTGTTAAAAAAGTCACGAAAAGGAATTTTAAAACGAATTAAACGATTAGCAAAGAGCACCTGGTGGATGTCGCTAACGCCTCGCTTGTAATGCCCATTTAGGAACCTTGACAGCTAGTGACGGAGGTTGTCTCGCCTCCGGCCAGGACGAAAGGAGAGGGGCAGGAGGAACTCCCCTCTTCCCGAGAATGCCTTTTGTGTGTCGCAGAAGTCGCTATTGTCCCCCTACAAGATTATAGAAGATTAACCCGTCACTCAAAATTCGTACAAAAGCAGCCGCTTCGGTGGCTGGAACGACTAGGCCATCCTCTCGACGTCTGCCTCGCCGTAGCTTTGCTCGTCCTGAGACGACCAACGTCACCATTGCGTTAGATGTCACGTGATCTCCGCTGGGCCTTCTCCGAGCGCTTGTTAGAGTGGGCCGTTTATAACGAAAAATACAGCCACCATGCTCAAAATACAAACGTGCGATTGTCATTTACGGATATTGTGGATCATATTCAACTTAATTTGAACACGACGGGAATATTTCCAATTTCGTTGCAGGGCAGGGCCCCTTTAAAGGGGCCCTGCAATCATATTTAAGCGTCTACCTTTTTTGCGGTTTCCACGTCTCTTGGGGTTCGGGCAAGCCAGCGGGCACGGCAATAGTAACTAAATATCAGTGCGTCGTATTTTAACCGGCGACGTGGAAAGCTCCTCCACCTACGGGGGCGACCCGCGTCGCCGAAAGCGCGCGAAATGTGACGTCTTTGGTCCTGGGGCTTACTACTGGTCGGAGCCGCTAAAAGCTTATTTTGAGTCGAAATACAAAGTATAAGTGGCGCGAGCCGTTTCAATTATTTATATAAGTAGTTCTTGTTCAGCCTTTTAGATCAGAAAAGAAACAAATGCAGTTTATAAAGTACGGAAACAAGAAATGACCCGTCGACATACCCGCCACCAAGCGGTGGAAAAGACGGCGCATCCTAGAAAGGTGTAGTGGGATCAAGCACCGACGGGCGGCGAGCGTAGAAAGGTCCCGGATGTACGCGGCGGCGCTGCAGTCGAGGATCCGACCGGTTCTGAGCGTTCCGAAGGCCTTCGGCGAGCGGCTTTGGCCCTTTGGCGTTATGGCAGCGCGAAGTGACTCCCCTTCTGAACTGATCTTCACCCCGTGTTTGCTGTTGTTTGTGGCCAATGAAGTGTCATGCCGAATTAGTGCTTAATCGCGCAGCAAATGCAATGCGAGCCGCCCTGGCTGCCCACTTCATACAGTCTATCCACAACATGCTTTAGTGGCGCCCTCTCGAGCCGTCGACACGGAGTGCGGCAGCGGCTGAGCTCACTACCCCTCCTGTAGTTCACGGCCACTCAAGCAACAAAGGACGTCATGAAGGAGGTTATTTTTTGCTGTTTTTGTCATCTTAATTTGCCTATAACTTTTAACATAAAGCGAAATTCGATAAAAGAAAAGTTTCATTAAGTTACTACGTTCAGTGCGCTCAGGTTGGGTGCAAATTAAAAACCTCTAAAAAAGTCCTTGCAGGGCCCCTTTAATATTCACTCCAGTGTTGTCAAATGGATTTTTGAATTCCTAATTAACCGTACGCAATATTCTTCCGTTACCAACGTAAAATGCTCCACCTTTACCGTAACATCAAGCATCCCCCAGGCCGTACCCGGCCCCCTTCTGCTCCTTATATACATTAATGAACTCCACCCTAAAATACGGCGTATTCACTGGCGGTCATAGCTGAGCTCTTCCCCACTGGGGAAGAGAGAGAGGGGGGAAAGCTGCTTTTGTATGAATTTTGAGTGAAAGTTAATCTCTAGAGGGAAAATAGCGACGTCTGGGGAAGCCTGGGACATACAAAGGAAAATCCCGGCGAGAAGAGAGTTTCTCTTTCCCTTCTTTTCTCGTAATTGCCCGACAGCCGATAGGAAACTCCTCCCGAGCATGAGATGTGAGCAGTTACCTCAAATATGGCGTCCAGTGAATACTGCCTATAGCTTCTTCTGTGTGCCTGTTTGGCGACAATCGTGTCACGTACCGACCCATTCTTTCATACTTGCTACGACGCTGCAGGAAACATGATAGTGACTGATAACTAACGTTTATTCCTGCGCAGCTTGCGTTTCATCTAGAACCAAGATGAGGGAAAACCAGAAAGACGGCAAGCGCCACTGCATTTGTGGTCGATCTGCAACAATACCGTGATCATCAAATTCTCCAGGAAGACCTTGCGTCTGTATCTCAGTAGTGCAAAAAATGGCAAATGGCACTAAACTTTAATAATTGTAAATCCACGTCACTTTCCCGCAGTTCACGTGCCACATCATTTTCGTATTACCTTGCTAACACTCAAGTAACAGCCTGCTCATCTTATAAATAGTACCTGGGTGTCCATCTCACCTCTGACCTATCATGGAATACTCACATAACCTGTCATTGCTAATAATAACCGTACTGTCAGATATTGCACCATAACCTCAAACTTGCTACTCTTTATAAAACGACTAGTGTATACTACTCTTATAAAACTCAAGTTAGGATAGGCCTCATCTATATGGTCTCCATGGCAGTCATACCTCACAAATCATCTAGAATCCGTTCAAAACAGAGCTCTTCATTTTATTCATAATGTCTGCTCAACATATACGAGCATTTCAGGATTACGCCAATCGGCTAACCTTCATTCGCTTTCCTTTCGCCGCCTAGCGTCATGCCTCTCTCCTTCATAGAATTTTCTATCGCAATATCCCCCTCAGAGAAGCATTACTATCACCTCTCAGTGGCATAGGCAGGGGGAGGGGGGGGGGGGGGAAAGTTAAGAGGGTCAAACCCCCCCCCCAAAAAAGCCAAAGTTTCCATCCACTCCCCCGGCTAATTCCACTGAATAAGATGACTTTCGTCAAGGTATCCGGCGTCCCCTTTCTGTAAATAAACATAATCTCACTCTCACTCACTCCTCCAACTAATTGAGTTTTAATTTGCTCCATTCACTCTGCATATGGAACACAGATGGAACCTATGTAAAGGTAATAACTAAACCAGAGAGTTGACAACAAATAAGCTTATAGAGACTCAAGTATCCTTGCTAAGTTTGGAATTTGAACTTCCAAAAAAAGTATCCGAATGTCAGTCTTATTAGCAGCAGTTTTATTCGTCATTTTTACTGCAAAATAGAATTGTTACAAAAACACACAATTTTTTAAAAATATACTTGATATTTGTGTTTGCAATGCCTTGATCTGGAGAAGTGCTTTTCCCCCTAGTATGTGGTTGCGTTGCAGCGAAGCATGACACGAAAAATCACGAGGCCCACTCTGTGGTTTTCGCTTCATTGTACTGCACCAGTGCATGGTGAGAAGCACACTCAACAAAGCTACCTAACCCACCGGAGCAGACCACGAACAAGAGAACATTGCGCGATTTCCGAGTACTGTCAGTGTTTCATACAAAGATCAAGTCGAGTAATGCATTATTTAAGGCAATGATCGAAAGTTCTGAAAATTCAGACGAGTCTACCGTAACGAACTGGCCGTGCAGCGAATCCTCAGATATTACGAGACAGTATTAAAAAAGTGAAATTATGTTTTGATGCAAATTCATCACATTTTGTCAAAAGGCAACAGGATGTAGCAGGGTAACCACTATGGCACAGTTTGGTGCAAATGGCGCAGCAAACACATCGCTGGAAACAAGGGGAACAAAGGGCACTAACCTAGTTGTGTTATGAAGATTTATGTTTGTCCTTTGTCATCCTTGTTCCCCTTCTCCAGGACTATTATCGTTATCACTGTCAACTACTTTGATTTAGTCCGGAGAATACTTGGCTATGGAATGTTTCGGCTTAGTTGCGTGTTTCGACGACGGCACCGGACAAGCCCTTATACAGCACAATGGGGACATCCGCTAGCACAAACACCGGAGACCCGCGGTGCCGCGGCTTTCCAGAGCCAAGTAAAAATATTATTATTAGTAGTAGTAGTATTATTAACTACCCCCAGCGACGCGAGTGACTGCAACTGCACAGCAACAGGAAAGACGACTCAAACCTATGGCGCACTTGTAGCCCTCTCGCAACAACTACCACAGGCAAGTGTAGCCCATACAGATCTTTATTTTGGTACCTCGGGTACAATCGGAGTAAATTATGTTGCAAAGTGCACGCGTTAACAAGGAAGGGAGGAATGGTGTTCAGAAGCCGTCGGTCGCCTTGTAGTGACAGTCGTCCATGGTTGTGTAGATGTGGCCTTCGTTGGAGAGGAATTCAACCACGTCCCTGCGAGGACAGAATAGACGACTGTTAAAACTGAGCTGGCTCAACTATGTTGCGCAACTAGTTCAACGGTTACAGCGGATTGCTGTCAGAAGCACACTGGCTGGCGTCCCAAGCCATACAATAAACCATCTTTTCTCTTGTAATAGCGAACGGCCAGTTTTCACGTGCGGAGTCGGTTATGTACAGAAGCATAGTTTCAACATCCTTTAAACAGGTGGTACAGCAGATGTCCTATATTTGAAGAGTTTTATTCGTAAAAAGAGCCACATCCAGAAGCTGAAACTTGAGCCAATTGTGGCTGGAATTCGGAGTATATCTGGGGGTCGATCGTTTCCAAAAGGTGATTAACCTGAAATCGGTCATACAGCTGAATCTCAATTTAACGAAACCCGATTTTATGAGTTTCCCAATTTAACAAACAAATTCGGATTCCCCGCACAGCCTATCCCGAAGAATGTCTTTCTCGACTTTACGAAGTTCCCGATTTAACGAAATAATTAGGGGGTCCCGGTGACTTCGCTAAATCGAGGTTCAACTGTATTACGCAAGAAAAACCAATAAACACGAGGCGCGGCACAGGGTTCAGAGCAAGTCCGATAAGCACACATTCCTGTTTATGTCAATATAGATTTGGCTCTTTTAAAAATCAATCCTCATTTCCTGCCCGCCAAACTTGGAAAGAAGAAAAGTAGTAATGACGACGGTCAGACATAGCAGAGTGCTGAAATGGTATAAATCTGCTAAGCCCAGTCCCGACCCACACACAAGCCACATAATCTTATCGAAGGATCTATATCTGTATGTGAGATCTGTAACCAAATACTAAAATTGATTGACTGAATGATTGGCTCCCTGCAAAAAGGTGCAATAGACCTTTCTGGAAAATCCCACATAGCCTCTCAATTCCACATTGCACCGACGAGCCGCCAGCTTTGCACATGCTCTTGTGTGAAGCGCTACGCGTGAAAAATTGCACGGGTCGCATCGCGCCTAGGGGTCGCGACGCCGCACTTGACTGCGCTCGTGGCACTGCCTGCCTGTGCCTGCCACTTTTAGTGTAAGCAGGCGAACATGGGATAAATTCCCTGACTCGGCAATCTTTTTGGAAATTACCCTGACGATTCCCTGAATTTTCCAGGTCTCTTAAAATTCCCTGACAATTCCCGGTCGGTAGACACCCTGCACGCAGTGTGGGGAATTGGGGGAGTGTTCTGATGCGTGCTCAGGTCGGCTCGTATGCTGTGAATGTCCTGGAAGTGGCTTAATTCCTTCTCTCCTACCACTGCAAGTTCAGGACACAAAGAAAACAAAGCAAAAACACCACAAAGTCGATATGTGCCCATGTTGTGTTATCGCCCTGCTTTTTTTTTTTGTGTTCCAAGACGACAAAATGCTAAACAAACGTGAACTGCTCCTTCTATTTACGGGTACTGCTTCATGAGCCATGCATCAGATTGCCGTAGTGCATTGAAAGAATGATGGGAGGTGCTGCATATTTCCGGGATGGTCCATTACCTTCCAGTGGCAAAGACGGGGGTGGGGGGCTTATTGAGCTGAAGTCGCCCCAAAATGCAGCCGACCCTATAATACACCTATCTGAAAGTACTTGAGCAAAAGTATTCCATTAACATTTTATGAAATACACACAGGTCCCTTCAACTGCAGCATGTGAGCATCGTGCCCCACTTTCGTTTGTCGGAAGGCAACACCAGCGCACCTGCTTGGAGGTGCTGTGAAATGGCACCCATGCGTGCGCTGTATTGCCACTTGGAACGCAAAACTCACTTGATGGCTGCTCTGCTGAGGGACTTGACCTTTGCACAGACCTCGTCAAGGCTGATTCCGATTGTGGTGCGACACTCGCGAATCAGTTCGTACACCTGCAAGAATGCGCATCATCACCCATTATCATCTTGAATAAAAAAAAATAAAAAAAAACCCAAAAAACTTAGGCTCCTGCCAAACTCTTGCGAATGAAGAATCCGTTTTCACCTAGTTTTGGGATTAAATAAGGTTCCAATGGAAGCACTGCCTGCTAAATTTTGTGGGGAAAGTATGTACGCCCTGCCCTGTCCACGACGTTACGCATCTTTGCGACGTTCGAGCTTTTTCAAAAACCACTGCCCCGATTAGAAACAGATTCTCTGTTAAAGGGGCCCTGCAATGACTTTTTGACTGGTTTTTAATTTGCACTGAACCTGAGCGTACTGAACGTAGTAACTTAATCCAACTTTTCTTTTCTCAAATTTCGCTTTATTTTAAAAGTTATAGGCAAATTAGAATTACAAAAACAAGCAAAAAATAATCTCCTTCATGACGTCTTAGGTCCTGCCTTGAGTAGCCTTGAACTAGAGGAGGAGTAGTGAGCTCATCGAGCGCACACGGCTGCCGCACTCCGTGTCGACGGCTCGAGAGGGCGCCACTAAAGCACGTGTTGGATAGGCTGTCTGAGGCGGGCGGCCAGGGCAGCTCGTATTGCATTTGCAGCGCGACTAAACACTGATTCGGCATAACATTTCATTGGCCACAAACGACAGCAAACACAGGGTAAAGATCAGTTCAGAACGGGAGCCACTTCGTGCTGACGCACCGCCAAATGGCCGAATCGCCAGCAGGGCCCGCGCCGAAGGCCTTCGGAACGCTCGGAACCGGTCGGATTCTTGAGCCGGTATACGACCACAGCGCCGCCACGTACATCCGGGACCTTTCTACGCTCCTCGTTTGTCGTAGCCTCATCCCACAAGCCTTTTCTAGTATGCGCCGTTTTTTTCCGCTGCTTGGTGGCGGGTATGTCGACGGGTCATTTCTCGTTTCCGTACTTTCTAAACTGCATTTGTTTCTTTTCTGACCTAAAATAGTGAACAAAAACTACTTTCATACATAACTGAAACGGTTCGCGACACTTATATTTTGTATCTCGACTAAAAAAAAGCTCTTAGCGGCTTTGACCAGTGTCAAGCCCAGGACCAAAGACGTCACATTTTGCGCGCTTTCAGTACCGCGGGTCGCCCTCGTCGGTGGAGGAGGTTTCCGCGTCGTCCGGTTAAAATATGACGCACTGATATTTAGTTACTCTCTCCGTGCCCGCTGGCTTGCCCCAACCCCAAGAGACGTGGAAACCGCAAAAAAGGTAGACGCTTAAATGTGATTGCAGGGCCCCTTTAACAAACCGGTTTCAATCTGGTCATGCAAGTTACGTTATGGGACATACAGACACGCTGCCTTCAATATACAATACTTGCCCCAGTTGCATGACCAACATGATACTTTGGTAGAGCGACTCCTTAACTGTGATGGTGACAGTGTAGAAAAGCAGTTATGAGAAATATGAGTTCGATGTGCCGTGCACATAAAAATAAATTACAACTATTTTCCAGTCTACATATAAAGAAATATGGATACAGATGTACAGTCGACTCTCGGTAACTCAGTGTTTATTCAAAGTTTCGGTTAGTTCGAAGCAGGGGCATGGTCCTGGCAATCACACATACGAGTCTATGCAAAACAATGTGCGGTAAGTAATAGGTAAACCACTAGGACAGGTTAATTCCAAGGCCTTTTTGTGTTCTCGAGAAGTCTGGCAACTCTGGGGGCGTAACAAAGCCTCCCGATTATACTGACCAATTTCCAATTGTACCTGCACACTTTATTATGTTTATCCCCTGTCAGTTACGAGGGGAGATGGTCAGTAAGAAGAGAAAACGAGTGCCACGTGCGAGTAAGCTGCCAGACGGCCAAGCCGACTCAGCGGCCAAGCCGGCGACACAGTCAAGTTAGCTACACAGCCGAGCCAGCCATGTGGTCGAGCCAGCGACAAAGCTGAGCCAACGAAGCAGCCAGGGTAGCCCTGCGGCCTAGACAAACCGAGCATGGTCGCGGGTGCGCGCGTCGTGGCGCTGTTTCTGCAGAAGCTACAGAAGCAAGTGCGATCGTCTGTGTAAGGCCAAGAAAGCTTGGCTGGTGGCATTACCCAGCCCTACGAAATGTTTTGTCCAATAAATATGTTTATGTAACAAAAAAACACATGTCGTGGTCTGTGGTTTCCACCTTCGGACGGAAAAATCATGCAAGTGGTTAGGCTTAGGAACCTTCGTGTCACTTCCCGCGCCGAATGGCACCGACACGGAAACTGCGTGTGGCAGCACAGAAAACTTTTTAGCATTTTCTTCAGTGAAAAAAATGCTGAAGGCACCCTAAGGTAATCTGCAATTTGCAGAAGCATAATTACTGTTGCGTGCCTCTGCTAGCGGAGGCAAGCAACAATGAGAAGCTTCTCCTGGGTGAGCACTGAATAAAAAACAAAAATCACAGTTTAGTGTTTTTTGTATTTTTTGGGAGCGTTTTCTTGTCACTGTGAGCTTTGAATTTTACGAAGAAGTTTGTAAAAAATTTATTTTCGATCTCCCTCCACTTTGTTATAAATGTGTATGACTGTACAGCTATGAGAGAGATGCAGGCATGAAAAAAAAGCTATAGGCAACCTGCAATGCAGTTTGGTGCTACACGTTGCGCCATCTAGCGGCTGCAAAATAAAGAAACTGGGTAGGCCAGGACTACGCGGGTCGCGGGGGCTGTGGGAGGGCGCATCCAGAAACCACGTGTGAAGGTTGCATTTCGGATCGGCGTGAGCCTTTTTTGGAACCATTTTTTCGTAAAAGGAAGTCCTAACTTCACGTCTCTATAACCCCACCGGGTTCCTGTGACATCTCACCTGCTTTTAGAGTTCCCCCCAAAAATAAACGTTGCTACTGCTGCATGAAAGATGGCCACAGTCGCGAAGGTGATTCAAGCGTCAAACTTCATCGCTTTCCTTCGAGGTCTTGGGAAGCGACACCGCGACAGAAGTGGATTACTGCAGTGCGACGCAACAAGTAAGTGAATTTTACAGAAACTGTTGGGGTGGAAGTCAACGAAAATATATGTGCAGGCTTGGAAAGCGGTCGGACAAACTCATTTTGCCGACTACTTGGTCGGCAAAATAACATATTTATACAAGTTGTATTTTGAGTCGCTTTGGCAGCCACATTAGGGAATTACAATAGGAACAATCGGGCTGATTGTTGCTTCGCTGTGACGTCGAGAATCGGGCGATCAGGCCTTCAAGCTAAAGGCCCGTCGGGTCGTTCCGGCACTCCTAATGCCGTTCGGAACGAGTGGTCGCAGCCAAAACCTTCCAAACCTGCAAGTTTTCAAATAGTAGATTTTCTTAGCACAAAGTTTTGTTTATTTCAGCAACCAAATTTAATGCTGAGTCTGGTAACAAATGTGACGGCGTGCAGAAAGCAGGATGCTAAAGTTTTTCTGTAGAAAAATCTCTTGCGAAGCGTAAATATCCTTCATACACATACACTTTGTTGCCTGTCACCATTTTACACCAGGCTTTGCAATGTGCGTACGATTCTATAGCAAGCAGAGTTTGGTTCTAACTACCCAAATTTTATTCTAGTGTGTGCGGGCGTCGGGAGGAGTGGATAGCCGAGCGAGGCGCGAGCAGAGGCCAGCCGGCGAGGAAAGAGGAAAAGCGTGCTGCACGAGGCTGGGGCCGGGCAGGAACGATAGAGCCGTTCTGGCTGGTCTGGCCCATGGCGATTCCGGGAGCATTCCACCAGCGAAGTTCCGATCAGGACCGGCGGAAGCGGCGAACCCTGACCATACTATCATACGGAACCAGTCCATGACGATCCCGGACTGATTCCGCAGCGAGACTCTGGCTGTGATAGCCCTGAACAGCTAGCCTACGCAGCACTGGCGTGGGAAGGGCGATCCGCAGGCCTGGACACGGGCTCCGACTGTGAGCTCTGAACGACGGGCGACAACTAGGGTTGGCGGGTCGGGACTGCCGGCTCTCGAAGACGGGCAACCGGGATGTACAATAAACCCATTCGCTGCCTTCTCTTTGTGTTGTGTCACTTGCTGGGAGACGAGCGAAGCACAGACCGATCGGGCGGCCACAAGTAGTGAAGACAACTCAAACTGGTGTCCAAATGACGACTCTAGAATATTCTCAAAACACTTGGACCTATCCAGGCTCCCGACGGTCTTAAAAAACCGCATAAAAGAACCAGGGACATGGCACGCAGGGACGCAGGTGCACACGGGGACTGCTGATATCGGGGTCGCCGCCGCTCGCAACGGCCCGACGGGAAAACTGGACGCCCCATTAACAGAGACGCCTCCGCTTGTGGCGCTGAATGCAGTACTCTCGTGGCACCGCCTGGCCACTGCCGGCTGCCTATATGATTATAAGTGTGATGTGATCATTTTTGAGAGCCACACAATAATGTAGCAAAAGAAATAATGAGATATAACTGCAACAGCAACATGCCAGAACTATGCAATCGTGAGAGCAATTCATACTTACGCATGAAAGTATATTGATACAGAGGTGAGAGACCATAGGATAGCTGCCATGAAAGCGGTTGCGAGCAATGGTTATGAGCAATGCAGTCTAGTAGCACTCCCCAAACTCTGCTATCCAGTGATACTAAAAATATAAAATTTTGCATTGCTACCACCCCCTGGCTTTTTGTAATGAAACCAGCTTTTGGATTTCAGTGCATGGAATCCAAAATACACAAATTATTGTGTTTTTTTTTCCTTTTCTTTCTTTACAGTCGTAAGGGTAGAATTAGCTAAACAAGGAACAAGCAAACAAAAAAGAAAAGAAAATAAGGCATGCCAGCAAGAATAACAGTTCCTAAGGACTGACATGAGCTTGTTTGTTAGACTATGGTTTGTCAAACTGAGACCAGAGTTTAAACACCAGAACTCGCAGCTCTGGCTCTATTTTAAAGCCGCGACTTGTACATTTTTATTTTTGTTGACGCCACCGCAAAGAGGCCAAGTTCCCGAGCTGCTTTGCGACCCTTACACTGGATCC